TGCTAAAAGGAAGAGAAAATAAGCAAAATATAAATCTCTGAATTTCTCATCTTAAAGATTTTTACTCCTTAAATTTTTTTTTTTAAGGTTTTATTTATTTGACAGAGAGAAAGACAGCCAGAGAGGGAACACAAGCAAGGGGAGTGGGAGAGGGAGAAGCAGGCTTCCCGCGGAGAAGGGAACCCGATGCGGGGCTTGATCCCAGGACCCTGGGATCATGACCTGAGCCGAAGGCAGACGCTTAACGACTGAGCCACCCAGGCGCCCCACTCCTTAAATTCTTGAGATACCTAACTGCCATTCCAAAAGTCGGGTTCAAAAACAAACACTAGTGAATCCTGCCCACTCATGGTGTTTGAAGGCAGGCTTCCTTGTTACTAATTCTAGACTTTGGGTAGAAGTTACATAATAACCAGGGGCACCTGGGTGGTTGGGTTGGTTAAGCATCTGCCTTTGGCTCAGGTCATGATCCTGGGGTCCTGGGATCGAGCCCCATATCGGGCTCCCTGCTCAGTGGGGAGTCTGCTTCTCCCTCTCCCCCTACCCCCCACTCATGCTTGCTTTCTCTCTCTCTCTAATGAATAAATTAAAATCTTTTTTTTTTTTTTAAAGAAGTGGTATAATAAACAGTTTCTGGTCTTCAGGCAGAGAATATTTTGGAGCAACATGTGGACATGTTGGCTGCCTTAGAAACATAGATACTGAGTACACCCAGCCACCTGCTATAATTATTATGCATTCATCCAAATAATCATTATGACTCCATTGACTCTTACCTATTGCACTCATCTGAAAGACGAGATGATTGGATGGGATAGGGGACAAGTGGAGAGAGGGGAGAAAGACTTAAAACATTACAGAAAACACAGTGAGCTCAGAAAATTGAATGAAAAATTAGGAACTCTGAAAAATGAATTAGAAAATTGGGAATCATTTGGACCCACCCATCTGGGTTATGGACAAGCAAACCCTACTGATAACTGGTCTGCTTAAGAGTTAATACTCATGTAGGGGCACCTGGGTAGCTCAGTTGGTTAAGAATCCGGCTCACGTCATGATCTCAGGGTCCTGAGATCGAGCCCCACATTGGGCTCTACAGACTCATTCTGTCCCCCTCCCTCTGCCCCTCCCTCTGCTCTGTCTCTCAAATAAATAAATAAAATATTTTTTAAAATAGTTAATACTTGTTGGGGCGCCTGGGTGGCTCAGTTGGTTGAGCGGCTGCCTTCGGCTCAGGTCATGATCCTGGAGTCCCGGGATCGAGTCCCGCATCGGGCTCCCTGCTCGGCAGGGAGTCTGCTTCTCCCTCTGACCCTCCTCCCTCTCATGCTCTCTGTCTCTCATTCTCTCTCTCTCAAATAAATAAATAAAATCTTTAAAAAAAAAAAAGTTAATACTTGTGTATACAACTGAAACAAAAGTTTCATGCAACAGTAACACACAGCAGCATACTCTGATATTTTCTATTTCTATTCTATTCTTTTTCTTTAAAAAAACGGTCGGTCATAACCCAGGGATGGGTCACGATTGCAGTTTGAAAACTCCCAAAGAGCAGCAAGCAGCAGAGGGGCATTAGTGCTATTTTAGCTTTGTGAACTTCAAGGTCATATTTTTACTCTAGGTTCCTTATTAAAATTCTAAGATGCTACGTTTGTCAAAGAGAACAGCATCTTTCCAGCCTTCTATTCGCACATTTCCTTGGAGTTCTGAATTAAACACAGGGCAGTCATTCCCTCTAAGCAGGCAAATTGGGGCCACTTTACTAAAACACAAGTGTTTCCTAAGTGACACATGGATTCTTGCGGATGTGCTTATTGGTTTTTTCACTGTCTTTGAGTACAAGAGCCTCCTTTTCTCTTCTAGTTTCTTTTTCTTATATCAGGCAAATTCTTTTTAATTTCAACTTTATTCAATCGACTAAATCTTACTAATTTAGAAATACGAGGATAAACAAAAAAACCTCTCTACCTACATGGTAACTAATTAGGAGAAAAATCGAACAGGTGTAACAGAGCAAAAAGTTGGACAGAGGAACATAGAAGGTTTTGCAGGCAGGAGAAAAAGAAGGGTCCACCTGACAAGGGGTGGAGATGGTTTCTCTGGGGAGATGCGGTCGGGAGAGAAAGTACTAAACAGAGGAAACTGCATGCGTTAAGACTCGGGAGGTGGGGAGAACACGTGGTTATATTTGCCTGGAGTTCCGGGAGAGTGATGGATGCTGAATGAGGCTCAGCTGAAGCAGGAGGTTAGCTGAGGGGCCCACTCCGCACGTCTGTGGGCTGCAGAGAGCCCCCCCGGTGACTCCATGCTCTCACTGTCCTCTCTCTGGGAGGGAGCAAGAAGGGATGGGTTCAGACTCTTACCTCAGTCTTAACTCCTTTCTACCAGACTTCTAGCCTATCTGAAGTCTGGAATTGTACCTGGAACGGCCCAGGTCCAGAGTCTGGCATGGACTCAATGGACGTTCAGAGGACTCCCAGACATGTAGTTCATCTATGTTCCTAGCACTTGCCAGGTAGCTGAAACTCAAGTCCACGCTATGCTCTGATCTTCAGCAGGGATGGAATGGAATTGTTGTACTTTGGGAATAACCCAGGAAAACAAATACCCTCTTTTACTAAGGCCTCTTTCCCAAACTACCCCTTCCTGGAAAGATGCTGCCAATGATTTAATAACTTAAAATTATTCTCATCCAGCCCCCAGATCCTAAAGATCAATAGAAATGTTAATAAAAAATGGGCATAAAAATAAAAATAATTGTCTTGTGATATCCTCATTTTATAGTTCTTACTAGTTACTACTGCTCAATAACAAATTTCAGTTTATGATTATTTTTAATACTATCTTCTAAGTGTGAAAATCACCAAAGAAATAATTGAATGTCAGAGTTGGGAGATCCCTTTGAGCTTATTCTGGTACATTCCTCTCATTTTACAGTTGAGGAAAGGGGGGTGGCTAGATAACTTTATATGAGCTGCCCCCAAACAATTTTATACCAGAGAATTAATCAACCAAAAAGCCATGACCTGGAGCAACTTACCTTGTTGGTAGATGCCCCTTTAATCTCTTCAAAGTGTGTATGTGTATTCCCATAATCAAATTTGTATCATACTGTTTATATTTTTGTATTTTGCCTTTTTCACTCAATATAAGGTTTCCCTCCAAATCTTTAGTTGGTATTCATATATGTTACATATTCAAATATTTAATGACTTATAATATCTCATTGTATGTATGTATATATATAATTTATTTGACTTACTTCCTGTTGTTGGGCATTTAGGTTGCTTTGGGTTACTGTCCTTATTAGAAATAAACCTTTGTACATAAATCATGACTTCTCTCTGATTATTTCTCAAGGGGAGAATTACTAGTTTGGGCAAAGGGGGTGGACACATTTAACACTTCTGATACCTACTGCCAAGCTCAACAGCCCAGGAACATTTTTCAGATTTGCCAGAAGCAACAGGTTTCAAATCTTTTTCAGAATCTTAGCAACATTGGCCCTAACAGGTCAGTCATTCCAGCTGACTTGGAGTTCAAATTTGCCCATTTACATCATTTAAATCAATCATTTTAATCATTTAAAATACAAATGATTGTGATCATTTAAAAATATTAATAATGATGATGCTCTTGGCTTCTTAAGAGGCCTTATTCTCAAATTGTAAATTTATCTGTAAGAACCAAGGAAGGAAAGTGTGATTACACGGCCACGGATCAGATGAGAAATGTCCAGAAAGTTTCCTGTAGGGGTCACTATTACTGTTAATTTCTGCCTGCGAGTTAAGAGCGCATTTAAGAATGTAAGCACATTCATTTTTAATGCCTGATTCGTTCCCATTCTCTAAACCGTAAAATAACTAATAAGACCTTGAAGCTAGAGAGCATCACAATGCCAAGTTTCTTATATAATGACAAATACCACTCTTTCCACTCAACATGCTCCTCAGTTTGAACTGATGAAATATAGGCCACTCCTATGAAAGGCACTTACGCCTGCTCGTAAGAGAGGAGGCATTAGCTAATTGCCTAACGCCATAAAGTGTTTACGCGGCACACAGTAACTTGAAGAGGAGAAGGCAAAAACACTCATTGCTGTGGACGACGGGATCCCCTCCCTCCACCTGACCCTTTCTGCTTTTCCCGTGGGCCTATCGGCGCTCTGATTCAAAACCTATCTCCACCGAAGACAAAAATCAGATGTTGTAATACGCATTCTATGGTAGCATTTGAGCACAAAGACGTGCTTTTTCATTTTTTAAGTGTTTATTGCGCGGCTCAAACAGGCCCCCGACGTTCCAGGAGCCGGGTCAAGGCGTCGGTGCGGACACACCTCCGCAAGGCAGCGGCCGTCAGGTGCCGGGCAAGCGTGTCAGCCTTCTCTACAGAGCACGAGTCTTTCCCCTCATAAAATGCAAAGTAGCCAGCCGTCTTCCATTTCCCCCATCCCCAGCCCTCCTCACCAGGTGCCCGAGGAAGGGCCCGGGAGGATATGCACTCTCCGCTCTGGCGTTCACCTATTTAATGGAACCCCGTGGCATCTGCCCGCGGGGTCAGGTCCGGCCTCACCTTGCAGGCAGGCTGCCCAGCTGGCCAAGCTCTTAGGCCGAACCTGAGCTGAGCTGGGCTGGGTTGGGCTGGGCTGAGGCGCCCGGGAGCCCGTCTAGGAAACCCAGGGTGTGTGGTCGTGTGGCTGGTGTGCAAGCCTTCAACTTCGGTGGGGGTGGAGAGCTCCTCGTTGCCCCTGGTGCGCTGCGTCCCGCGGCGGACGCTGGGCTCCGTAGCACTCTTCCTGCAGCTGGGAGTCCTTGAGGCTGAAGCCGGCGGAACTCACTCACCTGTCTGAACCCTATCTGGGCAGGAACCAGGGCCCGGCGGCCAGAGCGCGCTGGTCACCGCCACCTCGGCAGGCGGCCCTCCGGGTGCAAGGACTTCACGGCCAGGGAGGCACGTGGGGGCGGCGGGGGGGCGCTCTGCTCCCAGGAGCTCCAGGCCCCCGGGATCCGCGCCCCAGCTCCTTGCTGGTCCCTTTCGCTCCCAGGCACCCTCAGTTTGGCGCGCCCCGAAGGCCAAACGGGGCAGACGCCAGGGTTGCAGGTCCGAGACGCTCCGCCTCCTTCTGCCACTTAGAGTCACTAGCGCTAGCTGGAACCCTTACGCTCAGTCTTAATCTGCGGTCACTTTCGGAACTTCCCAGGCAAGGATTAGCTAGGCCCTCTGCCTCCAACCAACGCCGTGCCTGCCGCCTGCCTGGGACACCACCAGGACCGGGAGATCCCGCTCTCTCCCCGCCCCCCGCCCGGGCACCGACGCCCCAACTTTTTACGCGCGGTCTGCGCCCGGCGACTGGGTGTCTGGCTCCTGTGCTAAGGGGCGTGCGCATCTTCCGGGTGCCGGCAGCGCTCCCATCCTCTCGGCTGGCCCTCCTCCTCCCCAAGAACGACTGTGGGCCTGATGAGCCGGGATCTGCAGGGCACTGGACTCTTCCTGGGGCTCTGATTTCGCCCCCGCCTTCCAATCCATCTTCGAGGTCGGGACTGAGCCTCAGGCGGCCAGGCTTCTTACTCCAAAAGTCAAGGCGGCCTTGTCTTTTTCTTTCCGAACGCGAGTGCCTGTGGCAGATCGGCCGGGCGCCCGGGACCGCGTCGCGCCGTCGGGTGCAGCGCGCACCATGGCCGGCTGCTGCTGCTTGTCGGCGGAGGAGAAGGAGTCGCAGCGCATCAGCGCCGAGATCGAGCGGCAGCTTCGCCGGGACAAGAAGGACGCGCGCCGCGAGTTCAAGCTGCTGCTGCTGGGTGAGTACCTGCGCCTCCCCGAACGCTGCCCGCCCGGCGTTTTCCGCGCTCCCGGCCGCTTCCCTCGCTCTGATCCCCTCCAGGCCTGGAGCCCGCGGGGTGTAGCGCGGCTTCTTCCTTTCCGGGGGGGGGGGGCTCGGAGGCCGGCAGCTTGGGGGCCTTACGCACCTGTCCTTTGCACCCTCCAGTTGGGCGACTTTCGAAGGCACGCCTTCCCTACCCAAAAACAGGCTGAGACGTAGCATTGGATCAATGTCTGCTTTGTTTGCCCCTCTCCCTAAAACCTCCTTCACCCCATCCTTCTGCCCCCAGCTTCTTCAGAGCCCCGTCTTGGATGTTGGGGTAGGTGGTGGGGAGCTGCCTGATGAACATCTTTGGGTGCAGCTCTAGTTCTCGCCGCCGTGCTCCTAGTTTTAAAGAAGTACGGTTGAGAGAGTGCTCACCGAGTGTGGACTGGGCTCGGTTGTGACCGCATCGCTGGGCCAGAACTTGGAAAGGTAGTAACCTCCCCATCCTGGAGAACTAAAAAGGGAGGTCCGGAAAATGGGTAAACTTGCTTTGAGAAAAGACAAAGCAGATACCTGGTCAGTACTAGGGCTGACGTCCAAGCCCTAGCCACTCACCCCACTGTGACCCCAGCCGCCTCCCTTTGGTGACCCCCTTTGGCCAGGCCTTTGTGTTTGGAGCAGGCCCAAACCTCCCCTGCTCCGCTCCACTCAGCGTGTACTCCTTCCTAGTGCCGGAACTTGGCTGCCCCAGCTGCGTTGACTAGTTACTCATCTGGCTTTTAATTTTCCAAAACCAAAAATATTAAGTTTCCCCAACTTATGCCCTAGGGCAAGGATCCCACCTTTTCTGACTTTCTAGAAGCCTGTTCAATCCATTTGCTGTTTGAGGAATATTTACCTTTTCGTCCAGACCAGGATATTAGCTGTTAGATCTTTCCAGATAGTCGGAAGCGTTTCAACTCTTTGATCCCTTCCAGACAAGAATCCTCTTATACCAGTTTATTAATCTTGAATATAAGAAGTCACCCTCCCAGAAAGCTTCAAGGAAAGAAAAGTTTGATCTAGTTAGGATAAAATGGAGAAAGCTTTTAGTCCGTATTGCCTTCAGGCCTGGGCAAAGGAACCCTTTTGCATTTATTCCCCTGGGGTTTAGGAGGTGTATGTGGGGGTTTTTGGCCTTCACCAGGCTGTGCTCCTCCCCACTGGGCTAGGTGTCTGCAGGGGGAGTGGGCTGCCCACCCAGAATACACGCTGCCCCTCCCCCACCCCCAGACTCCCATGGGATTCCCTGCCCGAAGGCCCCAAGCCTGCTTCCATGGCCTCTCCAAGTGGGGAGGGGAGCAGACCTCCTCTCTGAGGAGTGGCCGAAGGCCAGCTGTTCTCTGGTGTTGGAAGAGCTTGGAAATGCGGGCTGAAGGTCTGCAGGTGTGCCCCTGAGGCCTTCCTGGGGAGAGACGGACTCTGGGTGGGGGAGGGAAGACACTGTGTCCATCTAACAGGGTTGTTGAAACAACCTGTGTCTGGCCCAGAACCCGCCCCCCCCCCTCCACCCAGGGGTCTGTGAACTCTAAATTGTACCTGGCCTTCCAGGTTGTTAGAAAGCTACATTTGTCAAGGGAGGAGGATTATGTGACAGTTGGCTAGCTTGATGACCTCCTTAAAGTAATTACGTTGGGCCTCCATTTGTCCTCTTGCCCCAGGCCCCACAAATGATAGGGGCGGGCCTGGCTTTGGTGGCATACTTTGTCTTTTCAAGGGAAGTCTGTCCCTTCTTTCATGGTGAAGTACGAGGATTTGTGCCGGTGTATGAAGTACAGTGTCTGGAATACAGCAGGAACTTGACAAATGCCGGTTGTACACTGAGCCATCCCACACTGGTGAACAAGCCTGTTGTTTTGGAGTAAAAATGCTTGCATTTACACTCTAAGTAGGGGAGAAATGTTTGTAAGGTAAGTTGTTCGCCCTGGAGGTCAGGTTTAATACTGTTGACTGGAATATCTTCTTTGCCTCCCCCTGGCCTTTGCCCCAACCCTTTCCCTGCATCCTCCAGGCACTGCCTCGTCTCCCAAGATCCCCATTTTCATTGTGCCCAGCTGTGACCAGCCTACTGGCTCAGTGCTAGTTACTTAAAAACCACTAGAAACAGTTGCCGAGCCACATACATCTGTCAGGAACCCCAAAGAAGGACTTAAGAACTTTGGGTTTCTTTCCCTCTCTCAGGGAGCAGGACACACTTCCAGTTCTCCCCAAGATAAAGGAGGCAGTGACTTCAAAGATAAAGGAATCAGGACAGGGTGTATGCTGTTTTGTCCCAAGTCGTGCAGTTTGAGTGCGGAATTCACCTGAGTCTCTATAATGGGTGAATTAGATAAACCACTGCTCAGATGCCTCAGGTGAAAACTGCACTTGGTGAATGGGAGTTGAGGATCCTGTGTGGAGTGTGGAATGACCCGAAAAGCCACCAACCCTTTCACAAGGAAGCATGCTTTGGCAACAAAATGATTTGAGGAGGTTTCTGAAGTGCATTCAGTAGAGCAGTATCCTGTTTCCACTTAATAAAAGCATAGGTCAGTGTCCACAGGGAAAAATAAAAGCTGCTATCTGGTTTGGGTTAGTAATTGCAAGAGGTCAATGTGATGCTTTCAGCTGAAGGAGATGGGGGGGAATAGAGAAGATGATTGAATTTGGTAGAAAGACATTCCTTATCAGTTCCTCAGATAAAAGTAGGACTGAAAGTTCTGCAAAGAACCCTGATGAGTACTATTCAGTGCAGGAAGAAAGTGGACAAAAGCAATTAAATGGGGTGGGGGGAGAAATGGGATCTTTTATTTTTAATATTAAATGAGGCTTAGTGAAGTGTTAATAGATTGTTTCCAGAAACTGATGGCTTAATTTTGGATGCAGACCTCATGTTGGAACTGTCTGGAAGGAATGTACACTGGGGAATTGGTATTTAACGTTGCTGGCATAGGGATTAAAAATGTAAGCTCTGAGGCCAGACTGCCTGGGTTCAAACCCTAGCTGTACGTTTTGTTTTTTTTTTTTTTGGCCACAGACTAGCTTCTCTTGGGTTTGTCTGGTAGTGTTAAGTGTCAGCTATCTTCACTCCATTTTTGAGCATTTTTAGCCAGGTGTTACTTTTTATTTTAGTTGATCAGTTGCAGGTTGCATAGTAGTTTGTCTAAAATGCCCTGGTAGTGCTCTAACAGTAATGTTTTGCTTTCAGTTTCCCTTATTTTCTGAGCTGTAAGCTAATTTCAGTCTCCCTACTTACACCAAAATAGGTAAAAATCTGAGTCCCCTAAAATCTTACTGCATTGGTTATAACAATCTCATTTGGAGACTAATTATGTTCTAAGCTGGAAGTCTATTAGAGAAAGTAGCCTAGCAGGGCACCTGGGTGGCTAAGTCGTTAAACGTCTGCCTTTGGCTCAGGTCATGATCCCAGGGTCCTGGGATCCAGCCCCGCGTCAGGCTCCCTGCTTTGGCGGGGAGTCGGCTTCTCCCTCTCCCACTCCCCCTGCTTGTGTTCCCTCTCTCGCTGTTTCTCTCTGTCAAATAAATCTTAAAAAAAAAAAAAAAAAAGCATAAGGAGGGTGGTCTTCTTCATAGAAAGTGACAATTTTCTGGCTCTGAAGAGGAAAAGGAGTGAAATGGTAAAGTATGCCCATGTTCCTTTACTCTTCACTTGCTTCAATCCAACATTCTCCCAAGTGCCAGGCACTGCTCGGTATCAGATCATTTGTAAGTGAAGTGCTAAATTGGAGGTGTTTGTTCATGAAAAGTAACTTAGGAGGAGGATGGTCCTAAGTGCTTACTAGAGAAGGCAGTGCATGAAGGGGAATCCTCTGGAGGGATCATCTGAGTTGGCCCTTAAGAAACGGGGAGGTTAGGATGCTGATGGCCGTCCACGTGTGGGCTCGTGTCGGACACACACAAACTTCTTCCCATCTACCAAGAGAAACTTCTGAGAACAGTAAGTGGTGTTCTGAAGCTCTGGGATGATAGGAAGGGGTCCTTCGAGGCAAGATTTCTTTGAGTTTTTTTATGTTTTGTCTTAGCCCTTTATGTGAATATTGTGTTCACTACAAAATAGATGTTAATGTAAAACTTCATTTTTTGGTACCATAATGTGCTTCAGAATGGGGGACTGTGATTTTTTTTTTTTTTTTTTTAAATCTGTGGCTTCTGTCCATTCTGGCTGGAGTAAACCAACCTTACTAGGTAGTGTGCTTTTTTTCCATGACACAGCAGTCCCTCAAGACAGCTCAAGATGCTATTCCTTTTGTCTTTAATACAGAGCTTTCTCAAACCATGGACTTTTACCCTTTGTACATTTTCAAATAAAGTATATTGAGGCATAATTTATATCCAGTATGGAACTCCGGATTCACGATGTTGCGTCCTCCGAAGATCCTCTCTGGAGGCGCACCGTGTCCATCTGCCCCTCATTGGTGATGTTCAATTCAGTCACTTGTTCAAGATGCTGCACATTGTCTCTACTGTCTAACAGTTTTGTGGGGAGATAGTTTTTAAGGCCCAGCAAATATCCTGCTCCTCATCAAGATACCCCTCTAGGTTTAGTATCCATTAATGATTCCTGATCGAATGCATACCATGATGGCTACAGAATGCTTTTCCTAAATCCCGCACTCTCCACCTTTACCATTTGGCGCTGGACATGTTACTGTAAGAGCCTTCCTTTTGCCCCTATTTATTATCCATACATATTCGTGAATCCCTCATTGGTTTTTATTTCATCCCTGTACTTAATTGTTTGGGTGCTCACATTGTACTCAGTTTGTGCAATGAGACCCCCTTCCGGCTGCTGCTTGCATCAGGGCAACATGGCCCCATTTTTTTTTTGAACCTTCGTTACTCTGGCATAATCATGAGCCTGGAGCTCCATCTGATGCCCTTCCCAGTTGGGGAATAAGCCATTCTCCACAGGGCCTTGGTTACTTTTAGTGGCAAATGGCACCTTTTAAGATG